AAAGCTGTTGATCTCTAGGTAGAGGGAAAATTTGTAGGAGGAGAGAAAAATGTCTGACCCCTCTGAGAAGATTCTGTATTTTCAGTTCTACCTTGCTGCATTTGGCAGACGCTGCCAGTGTTTGCAGACTTAGTGAAATGAGGTGTGGGTTTAGTATGGCATTTCAGAAAGGCATTCAGTTCTTGCATTTAGACCTGTGATTTTTACTTCAAGTTGATTCAGATGCTCGATTAGGTTGAAAATAGGGACAACATAAGCTCGAAGATCATGTTGTGCTTGCTGTAACAGTTCTAAATTTTAGTAATTAGTCAGCCTTTTGAATGGAGCTTCTTAAAAACTGCTATTGTGTATGCAGGCTCTCTCCAGCAGTGACTGTTTTTGATGCTCTATTGTTTGGGATGACCCCTGAGCTGAACTCTCTGAAACTCAAATGTCTAATGTTCTTCATCAGGCCATGGTCTATAGATCCATTACAATGGAGCTGGAGCCTGCCTACAGCTTGGGAGCAAACCCAGACCTGTCTGTCACTGGCAGGAGGGGAATGCCACAAGCGCCTCCGTTCTGCTCGTGTCATTCTGCTTTGATAGTGGCAGGCAGGCTTTAAACAGATCCCCTGCCTGCGAGAAAGGGACTTAGCAAAAGGCAGAGAAACTTGCTTTAACTTAGCTAAAATCTGTTTCAGTGTCTCTGTTCTATTACCAGGATGTCTGTGTTTTTCTTACTTTGCTTTCTCCTCTTATGCACATTTATTATTTTCCCACTTGTAGGCTTTATGGATTTGGCGTGAGAAAGCAGAAGGGTGTAATTTCCATTACTACCTTCCCTTTGTAAGGGAACCTTTCCCTCTGTTAGATCATCCCAAGCAGATAGAAAGTTGTATTGGATTGAAGAGCCCCAGTCATGGACTGAAAGGTGCACACACTTTTTCTGTAGTCCAAGCCCATCTTGGGCTGAGTGTTTGTGCACACATCTGATTTGCTTATGTGTCCTGTCCTCACGCCCTTTGTGAAATTCTGAGAAACAAAAAAGTGGGTGAATTGGCAAGCTCCAACAGACACAGTGTTGCAGTGAAGTCTTCAGAGACTTAGTAGCAGCCACAGCTCTGACTGTAAAACTTATCTTTCTGCTTCATCTCAAAATGGGCAGGTCAAGAGACCGCCCAAGTGAGTGTCTTTGATGTTACATATACTGCAGACTATTCTCTGAAAAGCTTCCTGATATTTTCTCCGTGTAAGAAAGACGAGAGAAAACTACACACACTTGAGCTGTGCTGGGCACTCATCTTTCACAGATTCTCTTTGCAGCCTTTACCTCTTTAGTGAGGGAGAGAACTTGCTTAGTGAGGCAGAAACTAATTCTAGATTTCTTAGTACTGGGAAGCACCTGATCAACTGAAATATGCTGGTTCTGGAGGCACAGAAGAGGAAACAAAAAAAAATGTGTGTTACGTTTTTATTTAACAGATTGTTGCTAGAGAAGGAATGGCTAGGGCAGTGAGTCTCTAGAAGGAAGGAGGGCATTTTGTCTTAAATATTAGGCTGTTTTTGCTCAACTGGATTAGAGTTCTATTTTTTCCCATTTTTAGACAGGAATTTGAATAGCTTATAGAATCATAGCTCAGTGTAGCACTTTTCTCAGTTTCCAAATTCTATATTCTACTGCTTGGTTTAAGTGCTGTGGGCAGCCTTTTTTTTATTCCAGTTCCTCTGATACAAAATTTTGATACCGTGTTAATCTGTTAGCCCTCAGCAAACACTTAGGCTATTAAACCTGAACCCAGCAAACATTTAAACAGTAACAGCTAAATTAGCTTGTTACTGGTTTCTTATGTCATTAATAACCCCACTTGTCACGATAGCTTTTGCTGGGATCAGTTGACTTTTACATATTTTTATATTAAAAAACCACAAAGCCTAAGCATTTGCATTACTTAGGCTGTAAAATTGGAAACCTGTGATTTTGTGTCAAGGTATGTTGCACTGCAGTGGCAATGTGAACTAAACAGTCATGGTTTTTGTTTATAATTTTCAGGGGTTTTTTTATCTCTTCTTAGAGGAATTAAGTGGATTTCATGCCTGTGGAATGGAGAAACCACACACCTGTGTGACGGTGCACTTCTGCCCTGCTCCAAAATGCTTTCACAGAACTTGTTCAGGGTTATGTTTTCTCATTGCTTTCCCACTTGAGACCAGACTGTAAAGCCAGGGAACTGTTAAATACCCCTCACACTCTGCCCTGTGGTCAGCAGCACCACACATCCTCTCAGTCAGAAATCTGCTTGCAGTGTTTGTGGGGTGTGTGAGAGCAGCCCTAATGCTGGCTGTGGGTGTAGAAACTCGTACTGACTGGAAATAGCTTTGAAGCTTGAACTCCTCCTTGCAAGTGTTTGGGAAGCAGTTTCCTTTGGTACCTTTCAGCTGTGGGAAAGGCAGGGTTATTTATGGAGCTGAGCTGGTGTGAGGCAGCTGTTGCACGAGTGCTGTGTGTGCAGTGCTTTGCCATCCTTGGCTGAGCAGCTTCCTGTCGGGACCACTGATCCGTGTAACAGCTCTGTCTGTGGCAGAAGTGGTTGGGCTCTGTGCCATTCTGTGTGTCCAAACCTACTTCCAAGTGTGGTTTTGAGAAAGCTGCATTTGGATAGCTTAAACTGAGGGAGAGGTGAGATGGTGGCACAATTAACTGTAATCAATTATTCAGTTTTTCTGTCATTATGGGTAAATTTTGCTTTCACAGTACAGTTTTACAGGCTTTATTTTTGGGATCATTTTTTGGCCTAGGCATCAGTTGAGGAAGGAGAAGATGTCAGTCTCATAATTGCATCTATTGTGAGCCTGCCACAGTGGAAAAATTAGGATTACTTGCAACAGGTTTTGCTGATAAAGCTTCCGACAATTTTGTACAGGGATCCTAAAATGCTGTTACAGTGCCTGTAGTTAGTGGCTCTTAATGCTCTTGGGGCTGGGAGCTTCAGCTCAGGACCAGTGGAATACTTTTTTACTAGCTAGTGACAGATTGGGAGATTGTATATCATAAAAGGAATCAATATTACTGGGGAGGGAAGGGAGACATGGGGAGGGATCATGGAAAGCTCTGTGTATTCAGGGTGTAGAAAGGGGAAGAAAGTAAAGATAGTGGATGTGTGGAAATTTGCTGTGTAGCAGAAAATAGCCTGTATGACTTCTAAATTGTTAGACCCTGTTTGGAATTGGGAGAAGGGTGGAAGAAAGGCTTGTGGTGTTGGTGTAGCATTTAGGAACTATGTGTTTGATATACATTCATTAAAGCAAAAATGTGTTTAAAAGGTATCTGAAACTTTCTTTTTAACTTGGAAGACAAAGGCCTGAAATAGTTGGTCAGTTTTAATAACAGATGGAGCTGGAAGATGATTTTTAAGGGTTCTGTGATTGGGATATGTTATGTTTGTTGGTGCTATCTCTTGAGATAAGTGTTCATCAAACCAAGTTATTTAGAGTAGATAAAACTAAAGCTTGTAACTGGGAGCATTGCTAAAGGGAATCTGTTATTTAGACTAAGACAAGTCACTTTTTCTTGATAAAAGCAGTGGAATCTACATGGTGGGTGAGAATGGGAAATCTAAACAAAGCAAATATCTGTGATTATTTTAAAATCTGTCGCAGAAAAAACCTGCTAGCATAGTAGTGATTCAAAAAGATACAGATAATGTGAGAAATCACTAGTAGAGACTCTTACAGCAGAGGAGCAAACATGTTAATGGTATCTTCAGATTTTGACTAATGGTGTTTTTTCTGTCATTCATCTCAGTGTGTAATAGAACAATACTGGGCATGTAAACAGTGATGATAAAAATGAGGAACAGCACCTTAAAAGCCCAATGGTTTAACACATCCCAGTTGTACTGGGAGGATCTGGTGGAGGCTCTCCAAGGTGGTTGGGATGCTGAAGCAAATCCAGAACATGGAGAGGCTGAGTGCATGTGTTCCTTCAGTTTTGGGAGGAGGAGGGCAGGGTTTTTCTGTGTTCTGATAGGGAGGTTTAACAATGGAGGAGGCAGAGTCATCTCAGCCCTGCAGCTGCCAAGGATGAGAGACAAGAGACAGAAGTTGCAGCACTGGAAATTCTGATGAGATGTTGGGAAACTTCCCCCCCTCCCCCAGAACAAGGTTAGTCAGCCATTGAGAAAATTGTTCAGAGGTAGCAGAAATGCCAGCCTTTGAACACACCCATTAACAACTCCACTGGACAACAACACAGGCAAGCTGAGCTCACTCGTTCGTGTTTGAGCAAATTTGACCATCTGGTCTTTGAGGTTCTGTCAGAGATGAGCTGTTCTGTAATACTGTGGCTTTATGGAAGAGAAAAACTTAAAGGCCCTAAATGCAACTGAGCAGATAATCAAGATTAAAAAAAGCTGTATCAGTAGGTATTTATTAAGGAGGAACATCCATCTCCATAGTTTTTGCTTATATAGGGAAAGGGCATGATCTCTGCAAGTTTTTTCTGATCCATTTGATGCTTGTCTCTGTGTCTGCCATGGTACAGAGCAGAAAGGCTGATGGAAGTGACCCCTGCTGGTCACAGATTTCCTCTGCTGATTCTGGCCTCTGGAAACGTTTTGCAAAACCAAAACAAACAGTTTAGACCATGCACACGAGGAAACTATGCTGGGGCCATGTGGGAGTGCCTTAAACCCTGGGTAGAACTGAAGTGCTGTATTCTTCTTAAGGCTCTAGTGTTGGCAGGGGATGCTGGGCTCAATATATGCAGGATTTTCCATTCCTCCCTTTTGTTCCCAGTGTCCAGAAGAGCTTACACTGTTGATAATAGTAGCTGTTTCCTAACCGTACATTTATTAATAAAGCAATGAACCACATATATTATAAATAATAAATTTGTGCAAGGTTTTCTTTCCAACCTGTCTAAATATATCTGAAACAAAAGAGCTACAGTTTGGATTTGCTCTGTTAACATGCAACAAATACAAACTTTGATTTAGTTTTTGGCTTTTTTTTGTCTTGCAGCATAAGCAGCACTATCATGGACGTAGACAGCACAATTTCCAGTGGGCGTTCCACGCCGGTGATGATGAATGGGCAGGGAGTTGCTGCCTCCTCTGCCAAGAGCATTGCCTATACCTGCTGCTGGGATCACTGCCACGCCTGCTTCAGCTCCAGCCCGGACCTGGCCGATCACATTCGCTCCATACACGTGGATGGGCAGCGAGGAGGGGTCGGTGTTACCTTTGGGTTTCTCTTCTTTCTTATTTGCCAATATTTTGCTCTTGAATGACAGCACCAACTTTTGTTTCAAAATTCTTTTTTTCTGGCTAGTGGCCGGAAAGTTAGTGGCCTAACTTTAAAAATGTAGTCAGTTATTTTCAATAAATTGAGATTTCCAGGGTTTTGATAGTGTGTTGATTTCAATATCCCTGAAGTGCTTACACTTGGAATTCATTTTCCTAAAACTCTTAGTGTACGTGTTCCTGCATGTGAACTCAGGTGAAGTCACATCTTAATTACTGTTACCAAAGGAGTTTCACTACAGGTAAAATCCATCCAGAATGTACAGAAGGGAAGATGTAAGACTGACTCAAGAGTACAGAATCTTAACATAACAGCTTTGTGTGTAATACTGATGGCAAGTTTGCCTTCTATATAATTGCATCTAATTTTTTTTTTTAAACTGAGTTATGTATATAAACATGTAAATTCCAGTCTAATCCCTGGTCAAATGATAATTGGTCTCAATTTTAATGTTTAAAAAACATCTTCAAGTAGAGTAATTTCAACTTTGTACTTAACTACTTCCCATCTTCAAGCTCCCAAATTACCTCTGATGTCTGGAATATATCATGTAAACTACCTTTACATCCAGCACAAGCAATCTGCCTGCTTTAGGCACTATGTGTTACAGCTCTTCAGTTTCTGGGAGAGATAATATCAGTTCTCAGAGTAGAATAGTTGTTATCTTTTGACTTTTTGCCCTGTCAGTTCTTCAGAAGGAAAATGTTAGGCTGTTGCACTTTATCTTCAGTGAATAAGAAACTTAAATAAAATGCTAATTTGCATTACTTTAAATAATTTATTATGTAAATATGTCACTGAAACAGCTGTGACTCTGGCTGTATTTGGATAATATTTTTTGGCATGATTGAACTTTTCAGCTTCATATTTGATGGCTTTTTTCAGTCCAGTATCTGAGCAGAATCATCCATTCAGTGTAGTGGCTTTTTAGCCACCCATAAGATGATTTCTGAGTTCTGTCCAGAGGTGTGTAAAGGTGTTACATGAAACCTGCACGAAACAATGTAATGAATACGGTGTATTTGGGTCTTTGCTATCCCATCCATGACTCCTTTACATTTCTTAAAAAGGGCCTGGAAGATTTTGCAGATTTTGGTTTGGGTTTTTTCCCCCTGTATTTTCTTTCTTGTCACTTACATTTTATGTGACATGATTTGTAGATATTCTTATTTAGAAATATTGCACTGTATTTGTATATTTGAAAGGGGAGGTTGTTGGAAGCGCAAAGTGTTATAAGTGTTGCATTGAGTTCACACTTTTGAATGCCTCTGCTGGAGTTAATTTTTTGGGAAGTTCCAAGGTAGGGGCTGTGGAAGGCGGATGTGTTCTGGTGGGTTTGTTTCAGGGATTTGTCTGCCACCTGCCGGTGAGTGTTCAAGTGTGTTTGGAAATTGTCTCCTGCTTTTGATGGCATTTCAGACCTTACTTAAATACAATGGCTTTGAATTTAAAGGAAAGTGGGGGTTAAGTAATTGCTTATTGAGAATGGAAAGGAATAGGATAAACATCTTTGCATGGTAAAATGTATTTTTTCCAGTTAATACCAAGGTCATGGCTCCAGTCCAAACTAGATACATCCACAAAGAGCCTGGGAAGCTTTTTGACAAAACAGTTTTGCTTTTGAAAGATGTTATTTCAGAAATATTTTGGGATCAGTTCTTGGGTTCCCAAGAAGCCTTGTGTAGACTTGTAGCCCGTGGTTGCAAACCCAGGTCCTTGTATTTCCTCCATCTGTAAGTTCCCAGTAACACCTTTGCCAAGTGCCCTGCAGTCTGCAGTTGCTGCTGGAAATGCCAGTGCACTTATGGAGCTGCTGCAGAGCCAGAAATCTCAGAAATTCCAGTTCTGTGGCTTTGAGGGGATCTCAAAACTGAGGAGTGGCAGACCCCAAAGGTTCAGGGGCTTGGGCCTTGTGTCAGTGGGTGTGGATCAGTCCCAGCTACTGAGGGGTTTCCAGCTTTGTCTGAGTAGAGCTGGGTTATGGATCTATTGTACAGCAAGAACGTAGAACTCCCGTGGCTGCTTTTTCATTTGGAAAATAAAATCTTTTGAAGGTTGAGGGGGTTTTATTCTCCAAAAGAGAACAAGAAACTGAAATCCAATTAGTTTCCCGCATTTCTGAAAACCTGTGTTACGAACAGTGCTGTTCCTGGGAACTTTCTTTTGCTGTGACAAATTAGGGCTTTACCTCCCTTCACCCACAGACCTGTTGAGGAAATTCTAATGAAAGGCAAGTTCATTGAACTTTTTTTATTCCCTCAGTTACAGATAAACACAATGAGAGGACAGAGAAAAGCAGCATGAGTGAGTTCTGCTCCCCTTAATGCACTATTGTGCACGTGATTGTTCTGTACACTGGAATCACAAAACAGCCATAGATTTTGAATCCTGTGAGAAATGGTAGCTTCCTTCATCAGGAATTGAATGTAAGGCCCTAACTAGAGGTATCTGGTATTCCAGAATACAAAACTCCAGTAGATAGACTGCATTGCAATTAGAAGTTTTTACTTTTTCATGTTCAAGGAATAACTTAATTGCTTATGAGAGCAAATAATTTTATTTCTAAAACTACTACCCAGAAAATGCAATTTTTTCATTTAAAAATGGTCTGTCTCCATATCTGGTGGATAGAGATACTGAGTGCAAACACAAATACAGCAGACAGAGCGTGTTGCTCTTGATTGTGTTTATCTGCAGGAGCATCTGTCTGTTGGTATTTTCTTTCAGTGACCTGTTCTTATTGAATACTTGGGCTTGTAATTATTTTTTCCTTGGTGAGATATGAGGAGTGTGTTTCAAAATGAATGGTTATTGTTCAGAATTCTTTGAAGTGTTGTGAGATGTTGTAAATACAGCCTTCTTTGCTAATGTGCTTTTTATTTACTGTTCTCTCCGACTCGTGTAAACTTAACCACGTTTTTACTCTATTAGGTGTTTGTTTGCTTGTGGAAAGGTTGCAAAGTATATAATACACCTTCGACAAGTCAAAGTTGGTTGCAGAGGCATATGCTGACACACAGTGGGGACAAACCTTTCAAGGTAAGGCTCGTTGTAACATACATTATCTCTCATCTTTAGAAAAATTCTCTTTATTTTTCCTAATACAATATGTCAGTTGAAAAATATCATCACTGGAGTGAGCTGAAGAAAAGTGAGCTGAGCTTTCTTCTTTGCAGTAATAGTGCCCACAGGTCCTGTTCTTTTACAAATGCAAGTGAAAAAACTCTTATTGCTTCTCTATCCCTGTTTCTTTTAATCTATAAATGGCAGGAAGTGTAAAAGTGAATTGTGCTAAAGTTCAGGGGGTTTGTGCATTTTGAGGTTGAGCTGCTTACACTGTAAGAGTGAGGTATTTTCTCTCATACTTTACACTTGCACATTGAGTTTTGGATCATGGCTGATGGTGACATTCCTGCTTGAGTAAGAGCTGCTTTTGTTAAATTCAGTAGAAGCACTGGCAGTGACTGTTTATGGTTCATTCTGTGAACAGAATAAGGAAGTCAGGAATGCAGGACCATTGACCTGAGTGTATTTCCTGCACAGTATTTTCTAACTTTCTCTTTCTTTCTCCCCTTAATCTGTACCTGCAATTCTAGGTATAGTAGTGTTTATCATTCCCATATCCACCAATCCGTTATTAATGAGCTGCTTCATCCTCTTATGGATACAGTTGGGGCAGTTCATAGCTGTCAGTCCTGGATCACTTGATGGTAAGTCCCACCCACACTACTTCAGACTGAAGTTCTTCCATGTAGGATATGAAAATGAAATAGAATTTGGGGGTTTTTTTGAGTTTAGGTAGCAATTTATGCCTCCTGCTCTCCCACCCCTAACCTCACCAAGTTTTAGTCCCTGTTTTCCCTCTCTTCTCTTTCTCCTCAGGTAATACCTTCCACTTTAAAAAAAAAATATTTTAAGGCAGCTTTATAACTAAAAATACTTTTCTGTTACAGGGATTTCTTTCTGTAGTTACATTTTCTATATAGGTTTTAATAATAGTTATGACAGAAAACAAAACTAAATTAAACTCAAAACCAAAAGAGTAAAAATAGTCCATTGCATGTGAAAAAAGATTTTTTTACCAAACAGATTTTTTTTTTTCCATACGGAACTATGTAGTTTATACTGAAAATTTCTGACTCAAAGTAACCACAGGAAAATGAGTTTTAAGGTTATCATACCCTGTGTTTGAAGGAATTAGTTTCTTGGAAGGATAGCATAAGGATCATAGATCCCTGCAAGTTTGCAGATATGGTTGTTCCAGGAACTGATCTAATCTTAATTCCTAATCTCTGATTATTATTATTAATAATAATAATAATAGTGGTAGTAGTAGTAGTAAAGAAAACAACCACCAGTTACCAGAGGAAACTTGTACCTTAGGTTTTCTCTATTTTGGAATGAAATATTTTGTCTACCTCAAAGTATAATGGCAAGCTTTGTTCTTGGATGGAAGTCTTTTAATAGCTTAGTGTGTGTTCTTCTTTGGTCTAGATGAAAGAAACTCAACTGTAGAGACACTGGGTTGAAGAGGTGGGCATAGCTTAGAAACACCAGTAGTACTTCTGAGTGTCAGCCTTACCTAGCAAAACAGAAGTTTTTTGGCTAGGCTGGTTACAGCTAGAGCCCTAAAATTGTCCCCAGTTGTTTGTGATAATAATCATCTTGTGTTCAATATCTGTTGTTTCACCAGCTGATTTTCTGTCCTTTCTGGTGCTACTGAGAGAGAACAAAACATTGGAGGGTTGCAGTAGTTAATCATCCTGGCTCAATGTGTGTCACTGCAGCATTTTTTCTTACTGTTGTCTGGAGTCCCTCTGTTTGTTTTTTATCCCTGTATTTCTCAATCTGTTCCTGGGAGCTTTGAATGGAGGATAATTGTGGTCTGAGTAGAATTTTGTAACATCTTTTGTTCCCCTGTCATTTATGCTGAAATAAGCTTCAGGGCTCACATGAGGTAGCCAAGTATGTGAGTGTCTGTGATGGCAATCTATTAATTAGCTGGCTCCTTTCCTTCATTTGCTGCTTCTTTTTTTTTTATGCTAACTTTAGAAATCTACTCTCTGAGACAAAAAACACTTGAAGTGTTGGATATTAGTCTTGACCAGTCCAAGAACAGACTTTGATTAATTGTTTTGTGGCAGCCAGTCAAAAATGGAGCCAATGTGTCCGTTTTGTGCATTTAGCTTGTCTCATAAATCTTAATTGCTCACCTTTCAGGGAAAGCCAGATTTTTTGAAGTCAGAGTTGGTTTAAAGACCTGTTCTTGATAATTACTGCAGACAAAATATCTCCCAAAACCTAAATTGCAAATGAAACTTCAGTTGCCTCATGAGGATATACTTGAATCCTAACATAAAAGGAAGGAATCTGTCATTTTGGAAAACTTGCAGAAAATAATCATTCAGTGTTTTAGGTAAAAAATAATGTTGGGATTTTTGAGGGAAGTTGTAAGAAGTGGTAATGGAAATAGTACAGCTCTATGCTGTTGTCTGAAGAACTGCTATTTAGAATGTTTAAAAGAAAAACAAAGAATCTTAGCTAGGAAAATGACAACTAGAAAATTGGAAATCTTACTTTTGGAAAGGTAAATCAAATAGTGACCAGAAGAGAGTAATAAGTATATCACAGATTGATATATTCTTACATTTCTAGTGAAAAGAAGAGAGAAATGTAGTTTCTTAAATTGAAAAGCATTGTGGACCGTCTCAAACGTAACTCTCTTTTGCATAGAAGCATACATCCCTGTCCAGCTCCCCTTTGGCTTGCAAATGGGCTCATTTTATGTAGTTGCACATTTTGGGTTTAATTATCTCTTTTAGTGATACACATGGAGTTGTCCTTTGACTAAAAGCTCCATTCAGCTCTAAATGAGCTGTTCCGATTTCCTTATTGGAAGGTCTTTGTGGGTTTTAGCTGCCCTTCCCATTCATTCCTATCAATCATGTGACTGTGCAGTTCATTTGTCACAGAAATGAACCCACTTCTAAATTTCAAAGGCAAAATGGTTCATATTTTCATAAGTTTATCCTTTTTTTTCCTGGTTGTGTGGTTTAGTGTGTCCCTCTCATCATGAATATTGCAGTACCTGTGTCAGAGAAAAGGTACATTTCCTTATGGATACCTATTTTTGAGACTGTTGTGATGCTAGCTCCTTTTTTCTGTGGGGCAATATCTAGGTAGTGTACACCCAGCTCCTCTCTGAGTCATTTCCTTCACAGTCTGATTTTAGCCAGTCCTTTTCATATTTTTTTGCCATTGTAGACATTCATTGAGTATGGGTATTCTCTCCAAAGACATTTAGTGTGCTCATATTGTGCATGATTTTACTGACAGTTGAGAGAGTAAACCCTCAACATTATTCTTTTGTAGATCTCTTACGGCACAATTTTGCAGCGTTTTAGAAACCAGTGGAATATTGTGGATTATCATCAGCATGCAGGGCTGGTCCTGTTGAGGGTTCAGCAACTTGGCTCTCAGACCTTATAGACAGGATGTAAGGGAATAATCTGCTGAGTCAGAAAACATCCTGATTTCAACAAACTGCCCTTGGCAAGTTGAAAAGAAGTGAATATTAAGATATTCCATCTTTCTTGTCCTTAACTTGGCTGCTACAAGTATTGGAATAGTTAAGGGAGTTGTGACAACCTGTGTTTTCCAGCATGGTGTCTGGTGTAGGGGCAAAGTTAAATTAATCAAGTATTATTTGGCACTGAAGATTACTTGAAGACACATCAAATGAGCTCTTGGATGTTGGGCACAATGAAAGGACAAATGGTAGATGAGCATGATATAGTGGGAGATCTATGCAAAATAATTGCATAAAATAAAAATAAAGTAAAAATTCAAGTAATAATAGTTGCATGTAGCATTAGGATTGGGGTTGATGATCTCAAAGGTCTCTTCCAACCTAAATGAATCTATAAGGATGCATGTGGGAGTGCTAGCAGCTGCTTCCACCCATGGATTCTAGTGGATGTGCTCTTCGTGTTCAAGAGCAGTCATGCAAGGTTTGCTCCTGTGGGGTAAATGTTTCTAGTGACAACAAATGATAGTGCACAGGTTCATTGCAGGCTTCTCCTTAAAATGGGGGAAGAAAGGAGTATTAAAAATGAAGTTTGGTACTCCCTGTAACTTCCAGAATTCATGAAGGGATGGCTGCATTTGATACAGCTCTCAGTAGAGTCATGCTTGGTGAAATGTAGAAAATACAGGAGAGCAGCTCCAGTCTTCATTGGCAATTCATGTCTCTTACTCTCTTGGCAGAATATTTTCTGTCCATTAGAGCATTGCAGATGTAAAATGTAAAGGCACTCTGCCCAAACACTCAGATGTTGAGACAATAAGAAAGTTTATCCAGATGTCTAAACTATTTCTGTTAGATTTACTAGAAAAAATTACACATTGAATAACCCAAATAGGAGATTTGGTTATTTTGAAGTTAGAACAAAAAGCTGCATTGCTAGATACTTTTATATCTTGTTTGTTAAAGTCATTGGTCATTACTGCCCATTAATAATGGTGGGTATGGGTACACTGGAGAAATTAAACTTCTTACATGTTTACTTCCTTTCTCTTGAAGTAACATATCCACCAATCCGGACCCAATCTGTTGTATTTCAAATTCAATGCAAAATTTTGAGATTTAGGTTTTGGGGGAAAAATGACAAGATTGGTTCAAAGTTGTGCATTATAGTTGAGTTTGATTTATTAGAAGGCCTCTAGAGCTATATAATTATCTGGTGGGAAGCTGATTTGGTGTGACTTACCGTCCAGAGATCCTGAAGTGACAGCCTGAACTGCTCCTTTATCTTTGGAGAGAAGAGACTTTACCCATTAGTAACGGATTGCTGGATATATTATTTTAGAGAAAAAAAAGAACAAACAGGTAAGATTTTTTCATTCTCCTCTTCTACTATTTCCTATCTACTGTAAAGGCATTCTCTGTCATCTTTGATCTATCAGCTGTTGATTATTTGAAGACATTATCAGGTAGTCTCAAAGTACACAAAATCTGAAAGTAATAATTTCTGCAAATATTTTGTACTGTGGCTGTAGACTATTAATACACTTTCTGGAAAAAGACAATTTCTAGTTGCAAGTAACAGATATTGAGGATCTAAGGATGTTGGTTTAGGGATTTTGAAAGTTAAACTTGGGTAGAGCAAGAAAAGTTAGCAGTAGCTTCTGTAGATAACCCATATAGAATATTTGGGATTGTTTGCTCTGTACATGACAAGAAAAAAGTTATGACATCATGAGTCAACCTGCAGTTTGTCATAAAACAGTGACAAGAAGTACAGTTATGGTTTGAAAAGTTTTAGAAAGGTGCCTGACACATAGTTTGTGCTTTTTTCCCAAAAATGTTCCCTTTTTGATACCATATTTAACTTGGAATATGATAATGCATGCACTGTACCAAGGCTTTAGGTTATTTTTGATCTCTAGCAGGCATTGGTAAAACTAAAATTTTAATTTCTCAGTGTGACTGAATTTCAAGATATAGGCTGGTTTTGAGCTATTTTTTTTTTCTGATGGTGTTTGTGTGATCAAGAGCTGGAATCTGAAGTCAGGAGCACATTAGTGAAAGTTAATCCTAAATTTAGATTTTGTGGCTTACTTTCATGCAGCTGCCTTTATGGGCAAGACAGCTATTTCAAGGACAAAAAAAAGGAGAGGAGAAAATGTTTAAACTGATGCACACATGCATTGTAGACTTATCTGTTGATTGTGAGTTGAACAATCTTTCATAAAAACTAGTGGTTTGGGTTCAAGGTCAGCTTGAGGGGTTTAGCCGTCTTAATTTAGTGGATGCTGGCCTTACCCACAGCAGGGTCTTGGAACTGAATGACTTTTAAAGGACCCTTCCAACCCAAACCACCCTGTGATTCTGTAAGTGCAGATTTTAAAGAAAGGAAAATTGTGTTGGAGTTACCATAGTGCAATGAGATCAGCATCCAGAGTGTGCTGGGATTCACAGGTGTGCTGGGATTTCTTCCGTTCTAAGTCACTGGAATCTAAGCAGACAATATTGCTGTGGTTTGAACATGGGAAATCTTAGGGCAAGGTTAAAAGGCATAGGGGGGATTTTGGTAGAGATCTTCACAATTCTTGAGATGCTTATTAGTGGGGGAGACAGGGAGGAACAAATACAGTGTGAAGGTTCCTCAAGTTTTTTGTCAGGGAATTTTACATTTGAGTTAGTTCACAGAGAACTTCCTTCATAGAGAACATTACATAGAGAACTTCCTCTAACTCCCTCTAAAATTCTTCCCTTTTAAAAAACACTTCAAACACACACAAAAAAAAAGTGAAGAACTTTCAATTTTTGCCTGTTACTGTCTTGAAATCTGTGTACATGTTTTTAGTCCTATAGCAAGTATTAAGCACAGTTTTTGTGGACACTGTATTTTGCTACTGATCATGAAAAACCAATTGCTAAGTCTGAGGCAGAAATAGACTTCTCAGTTCTGCAACCACTGTTAGAAAACAGCACAGTTGGCGTTTAGGGGCAAAAATTGGGACATGTGGATTTCTAAAGCTGTTTCCTTGTCTTCCAATCAAGAAGAAAAATCAATCATATGGATACACAACTAATTGCAGCCAGTGATTAAATGCATATTCTAAAATTACTTTTCTATTCCCCATATAAGCTCAGAGCACAATAGAAAAGGGTTGTGCTTCCCTCTCCAATGGTATAATTTAAATACTTCTTTTGCAAATGAAATAATTGTAAATATGAATCAGATACTTATAAAAGTACCAATAATTGTAGCCAGTACAAGCTTAGTTGCTGCTGTCATTGTTTGTATGTTTCTACTTGATTATTGTTGGATCTTATTTTTCTGTTGAGAGAGGACATTTTCTTTAAATGAGAACTACCTTAAATGCTCCTGAAGTAATAGCAACATCCCAAAATGAATGTATAAATAATTGGTACTACAACTTCAGTAAAGGTAGTTTTAGACAGAACTGTAGGGCAGCTGTTCATTGACTTTTTATAGCTTTTACACAGAGCAGTGAGCTGTTTCAAATTTCATGTGGGTAAGGATGTATTTGTTACTTCTGCCTTGTCACAAGAAAGGAGGATGTTAGAGGATGTTACTGTTACCAGATGGAGAGCATTGGAGAGGTGTTGAAACAGTAACAGTGTTTTGAAAGGCAAGGGAATGTTGGTCTATGAAGAGGGAAGTTTGCTAGTGCATTGTTTGAGATTATTTTTATGCTCTACAACAAAAAATATAGTATGGCATAAAAAATATTGTATAATGAAATAATTATTGAGAGTTAAAAACTTCAATCAAACATATTTCAGAATACTTATTTTGTTTTTCTTTTTAAGAATTGCATGGTCATTAAGAATTTGGTTTTGCTTTAGTGTGTTGGAAGTTGAGGCAGAAAAGTCACACCAAGGTGTCTGAAGCTCCTGTGCCACACAGGCACTGATGCAGTTGTTGTGTTTTTTCTCACTAGTGTGTAGTTGGTGGGTGCAATGCCAGCTTTGCATCTCAGGGAGGACTTGCCCGTCATGTGCCCACACACTTCAGCCAGCAGAACTCTTCTAAAGTTGCCAGCCAGCCAAAGGCCAAAGAGGAATCTCCATCTAAAGCTGGAATGAATAAACGAAGAAAATTGAAGAACAAGAGAAGACGATCACTACGTAAGTGTTCCGCAGAAGTTCTTGAAAGGTTTGTCTTGGAGTGAAAGTTCCTCCTCACTCTGGTGGTTTCTCTGCAGATTTGAATCTGGTAGGGTTGGCATTCCTTGTGATGGGAAGAAAACAATTACAGGTTCTCTTTGTGTTCCTTTTCAGGGTAAAACTCTGTGTGTCAAGGAAAAGTATCAGTTTTCTATGAGCAACAATTGGAGTTGCCAACTGAAAGAAGCTTTTCATTTCAGAGTTGCTTTTTCTTTACTGACTCTATTACTGTTGGAAAGGGTTCTGTTTAGTGCTAATGAGATCTGAAGTTGAGACAGAGATTGCAGATTCATATAAATTAGAGATAAATGCGTGTTATATAAGCTCTTTTTTGAGCACAACATTTCATTATGTTAATGACAGTTTTATGAGCATAACCAAGATCTAATTTTGGGCAGAATTGACTTGCTATGTTTTTTTTAATGTGTCTCCACATAGTTGCTGTTCATTAATTTTATATGAACCAATGTGCTGAGATGTGTGATTTGTTATTGAAAGTGAGAACTGTTTCCTCTAGCAAGAAATCATGACTTACCTAGTACCTCTTCTAGTCCATTTGGACCTGGTACTTTGATTCCTGAGTTGTCCTAGCATTAGACTAATAAAACATCAAATATCTATAGAAATTCTAATCTACAGAAATAGCTAGGAAAGATTAGGGAACTGTTAAAATATTTCACTTTGGGCTATAATTGCTTTGGATGCAACTCTCCAGTACCAAACTGATCATTTGCTAATATTAAAGTGTTACTCTGCCACCTGCATTTTAGAAGAGACATTAAAAAACCCTTAAGATTTTTTACTGCTGGTATGTCAACAGCTGAAGAAAAAAACACATGTATTTTTACTTGTGGTGCAAAATCCATCTTACAGTATTGGAAAGTAGAATTTCATAGGTTTTATTCCACAGTTTTATCTCTCCAAAATTTTTCTGTAGCAGAACATATAACTGTATCCATCCTTCTCTCCCTGTGAGGTAATACAGTTTCCAGTTATTCAAATAGTACTGCAACAATGGATTCACATACTAGTGGTCTTAGGTGATTACTCATTATCACACAATTGTGATTTATTCTTAATACCTCACCTGTGTTTTAAGGAACTTAATGGAAATTTATGAAGCAGTGGTCATGTTTCTGCCTTGCATGCAGACCAGCATGTCCTGGGAAGTTACATTATCCTCTGGACTTCTGAAAAGTTTCCTTTAAAATTTTTATTAGTCTTAAAATATATATGAGCAAATTGTATTGTGAAACACATCTTAAAAGTAGAGATTTCAAGAATTCCTCTGGTTTTGGTTCAACATTTAAAGAAATCAGAAAACTGTTCCTGTCATTTTCAGAATTTGATTTTTAAAGAGCTTTCCCTTTCACTGTGGAAATCTGGGTAAATGAGAAGGGAAGGCTGATCAGTGAAGGATTATAGGCTCACTTTGCAGTATCTTTTTGCATCTTAGATGTAATGAGAGAGACATCTTGAGATAATTGCAGCTTCCTAAAGGATCATCGTGATTTGTTGACTGTTACTCAAAATATAAAGGTCTGAGACTGGTCACTTGAAAATTCTCATTTTCAGGAGTTCCTGAGTTGCATGTTACCTTGCTTCTCCACATTGATTTTGTTAGGTGGCTGATTTAATGCATCTTAATTAATTTTCACCCCACTATATGCAGTAGTTTTTCAGATTGGAATTTTATTAGTAATTGATAAACATCATATTATATTATTTGACTTACAAATTTCAAATCAGAGCTTCATAATTAAAAGTTCAAATCACCTGTTAATATGCTTTAGTTGTAATAAGAATTTGCTGCAGAAGTTATGAATGAATTTATGGCAAAAAAATGGAAATAATAAATATTGTGGCAATGTTGAAGACCAGACTGCAGTATTTGAATGGTCTGCTGTCTTGATCAAGTGTTGCACAGGAAGAAAAATGACAGCTGCTTGAGCAATTTCTTATCTTCTTGCCTCTTGAGACAAATGCAATCCTGGCTGTAGACTTTTGCCTTAAGGCAGAAATCATCTCTAACTGAATTGGGAACTGACTACTGTAATGTATTTCTCCAGAGGGTATGTGACCCAGAAATGTATCCAAAGTTGATGGCATTTTCTGAAAATGCTGAGTATTGGCAGCCTTCCTTTCAAACTTTGGGTGGCTTATTGTTGGTGAACTGAAGGTGACAAAGGACTGATACAATCTTCCTTGTCTTTGTTTCTTAGCTTGGTTTTAGTTCATGAAGTGTGCAAGTTTGTGTGTTTTGTCTTTACAAGAAGAATGGGGGAAGGCAAAACCTTTATCTAGGAAGCCAAAATAACACAATTGACATCATTAATTATTTTCAGTTTAGAGTATATAAAGCTAAATACCTAAGAAGGATTTATGTTTAGATATTTTAAGTGCCCAAAAGGAGAGATGTTTAACTCATTTAATCAGGTTCTCTGCAAGTTCTCTTCTCTTACAAGGACTTGATGATATGGGTGTAACACAAAATGCCATTTAATAGTGGACAATCTGTTTAAATCACTTGCAGATAATAATTTGACAAAAGCTGGCAGTTTTTCAACACAAAACAATTTGTCTCTGAAAAAAACCTGTTGTCAGTACCTTCTTTCTACCTCATGGTTTTATTAGACCCTGGCTTTTTTTAAAGGTGTAAGTGGATTACTAAATATTTATTGACAATTAATGGCTGATATATGCTGTGACGGAAGCACCCTCATGTCTAAATTCCTAATAGTTTAAGTACAGCAAATTTATACATTTACTTTCTCTATTTTATATCTGAAGGTAACACCCTTTTGTGAGAGAATGTACAATGAAAAAGGAGACTTTGCTGTGGCTATATGTGATGAGACTACAATCTTCTAACTGATACTTTTTAAAGAGAATTTCTGCTGTTACTTAATTGGGTTTTTTTAAGACCTTACCATTTCAAAGTGTTTTACTTTTCTTTTGTCCTGTCTTATGTTTTTATGTTCTTATAAGTCTGAAAATCAGCTTTTTATCATAAAAGCTTGTTTTACTGGTGGCACCCTTTTAACTGGTCACATTCATGGTGCTGTAGAGATCTTCTTTGTCTTAGAAATTTTGATGTAGAATAGAATAATTCAAGATTAGAGTCCATGGCTGGCTTTCTCTTCTGGGTGGCCTTTTACGTGTTCCCTCATTCATGCAGAGGGGCTTTTAGAACCAAATATATTGCAAGTGTGCACCTCTAAAATAGGTCACAGTATTGCTGTTCTGAAGCTGCTTTGACTACAATATTGTCACTCTCTTTTTCATTGCAAAGATGACACTGTAGTTATTAACATGCATGATAATCAAGTTCACAGGAGGAATATAAGAGAGATAAAGAAGCTTTCTGTCCATGAAAACTTTATTACTTATGTAGAGCTTGGTTTGCATTTGGTGGGTTACTGATGTGATGGTGTAATTTATTTGACTTAAGGAACTGATGTGTATTTGAACATGCATTATTATCACGAAGTAAGATACTTAAATCCATTTTCTCAAAATCATTTTGGGGTAAAGAAGCATAGAAAATACTAACACTTAAGAATAATATAAATAATTCACACACTTCTGAAAAATTGTACCCTTTCTTCTCAGTTTGCTGAATGTTTTCCATTGTAAGTCCTGGAGAAGTTTGTTGCATAAACCTGAGAGCAATGATTTGTTGTTTTTTTCCCCTGCTTTCCATCCTCCCTCCTTTCCTCCCTCAGAAATATTTATAAAATATTTATATGCTTGTATCACTGAGCACCTGCAGCACGAGCTGGGGTCCTGCATTGCCACTTAGAGTGAGAACTCATTGCGGTGAGATGATTGACTAATTGGCAGTGTCCAGCTGAGATGGAGCAGGGACAGAACACAATGTACAGATGAATGCTTACCAACAATCAGCCCCAGGAGTGCAGCAAGTGCTAGCTCCAAGTGCAATTTGTAGTTCATTTTGAAGTCATGGTTAGAGGAATAGAGAATGCTGCTGCTTTAAAGGAAGGCAGCAAAAGTTTGAATCAATGTTTGTGCAGATTTCGGAGTAATACATAGTTGATAACCAGTTCCTATTCTTAGTTTTAATTTCAGTGTGTTATTTAATAAATTGCTGCTCTCAAGTAAGGCTTTAAAATGTGAATATTTTCATTCTGACTTTTTAGCTAATGTAATGTAGTTACAGTTTTATATGGTATATTTTAAAACTTTTCTGTGAAATATTTCTAATACCATGCAAATATGTTCTTAATAGCAATTATTTTTTAGTGCAAGTACTTTTAGTGTAGAATTGATGGACTGTATATTACACCCTAAATCAAAATTCAATAATCTTTCTATTGTTCAAGAAACACTTAACTATAAAAATCCTTTTCTAAAAGGAAAAGATCTTTATAATGCCTGCTGGTTTTATACTGGTTGTAAAATCTCAGATGGGTGTTAGCTGTGCTTTACTCATTATAAATTGAAGGTTAATGTGTGATGCATGCAGCTTGTGCTTCTTGGGTAGAAGATATTTGGTAATAGTCCAAGAACATGGAATGACAACATGTAAATAGAAAGAAATGTGTAATAGTGTGGAGTTTTTCACCTGACTGTTCAGCATTATTGAAACTGAAATGAGTGGATGTGGTTGCATTTTTGGAAATAGCGGTTTCATTCACAGCGAGTGTGTTTTGAACAAACTTGAATTGTGCTTCTCTAGGAAAAATTTCTGCCTCTCAGCAAAAATGATGTCTGCAGTTCTCTGACAAGGTAGTGCTGCTGACAGAAGGATAAATGATTTACTAATGACACTTCAGACCTATTTACATGCTTGAATGTGTTTGAATGCTTTCAGTGTGTTGAACACTAAGGATCTCTTTTCCTTTTTTCCAGCAAGACCTCATGACTTCTTTGATGCACAAACACTGGATGCTATAAGACATCGAGCCATCTGCTTTAACCTCTCAGCACATATAGAAAGTTTAGGAAAAGGCCACAGTGTTGTATTTCATAGTACTGTAAGTATTTATAGGATGAATTCTGTTTGTTTGCCTTTGTGTCTAAAAAATCCAATCTTTCAGAAAGATTTCTGTTTTCTTCTTACTGCTGTAGACATTTAATCAGAAATAAGCAATAGTGGCTCTTTGGTATTGTTGAGCTGTCCACTGTTGTTAGTAAATGAACTTCTAAGAGCTATTGGTGGTAGTTGTTCTAGCTCACAGATTGAGGGGATTGCAACATTTCCTGTCCAGTTGGGGAATGTCTAACAGCAACTTTCTGTTGCAGAAGAAAATTGGTTCTATCTTCTAAATAAGAACACAGTTCAGATGGCATTTCCATGGTCATGAGTGACAGTGGTCATTTATCACGAGAAATATTTTTGGTGTATAATTGAATATGTAAAGATGCTGATCTGAAATATGTGTTTATTCCCTTTTTTTCTCCAGTTTAAAAGACATAATCCTGAATAAATTTATTCCCATCCCCATTTTTTTCTTTTAATAATCTTAGCACCAAAATATTGGGGAATTGCTGGAAGGAGGCAAGAACCAAGTGGGGAACTTGTGTTTGGATAGGAGAGACATCAGTATTAATTTAGAAGAGTTCAAAGCAGGGATAAAATACTGAATTGGGGTAGAAGGATTAGAAGTTTAAAAGGTTGAGTAACCTCAGATTTTCCTAAGTATGTTGGGAGATGAAGGCATGTAAAGGTGGAGACTTGGCTGAAGAAAAGAAGTAAGAGATGGGACAAAATGGGGAGGGATGGTTTTAAATTGGTAGAACAGTCTAAACAAGGAGTGCTGGAGGACATGTCTTCAGCTACAGCTTAATCTTGGTATGGGATTCAAACTCTTGAACTACCAGTCTCTTTCCATAAATAAAAGATGATTTTGCATGCATGAAACTTATTTCACCTTGTTCTGCTAGGCTGATGATTGTTCTGAATACCTGTAGCCTCTACTGAAGATCTTTTCCAAATGATTTCTGCTGAGCTAAGGAACAGATATTACAATGATTGAAAAATGTAACTTATAGGTTACCCTGTCATGCCACCCCCAACCTTTGAAGTGGCTTGACTTATTTCTCTAAAACATTTAAACACTGAACTGTTCTCTGGTTTTAGCTTTTTTAGGTATTTCAGTTCATTTGCCACATTTTTAAGTAGTATTTTAACTAGTTACATTGTTTCAGTATATTGAAATCTTGTAAAGCAGTAAATTAATGCAGTGAGATGCCTACGATGCACACAGTTTACAGTGTGAAATTGTTTTCTTTTTCCAGAAGAGGTCAGCAGAACTCCATGTCTGATTTGAGACCACTTTGATGCACGTTTGCTTGGAATTTCCATTTTGTTTCTGGGACAGTGCAGGAAATGTAGAGAGTGTAGTAAGAATATTTCCAAATAAAGCTGAGTTAAGTGGACATCTTCTGGCTGAATTATGGTTTTCACTTAAAAACCTAAATGGACTTAAGTTCTTTGCAAAACAATTTTAAGTCTTCAGAGCATAGTTATTGCAGACACACAACTTTCAAGGAGTATAACATTTTGCTTTCTATGAATGTCTAGTAGGACATGAATAACAACTTTTGAGAAAAAAAGTCTGTAATTTGGTTTTAATTATGATTTTGTAATTATTATAGGTAATAGCTAAAAGAAAAGAAGATTCTGGCAAAATAAAACTCTTGCTTCATTGGACACCAGAGGACATGTGAGTATATTGCTAGTGATGCATTTTAAATGGGGAAGGAATTACAGTGGGATCAATGAACTGCTACTAAATTATTTTGTGCCTGTGAATATTTGCATTAAAGAGTTAATATTTTAAAAATGCTTTTCAAAAAGTAATTTAGATGTTTAGAAATTAATAAACAATGAGTTTATTGATTTTTGCTTTCACTTTCAAGTCTTTGGGCTCTAATACCAGTTCAGTTAAATTTCCATTTGTATTTTTAATGCATTTTGTCACAAGTTTCAATTCATTGTGAGAAAAGAAAGCTAAAATATTCTTATAAAATAGGCAGTTTTTGCATTTCTTTTAGGGCAGATGGTAGTATTATATCTAACAGCATTCTGAATTTCTTTTTTAAATGAATACAGATGATATTATTTTACAGATGAAGACAGTTAATCTTATTTTAAGATAAGCATTAAGAAGTACGCAATTCTGGGAACATGAAAAATAAGAGTAACTTTTTTTTAAATACCGAGTCAAACGATTTTTTTGCTCATGCAGGTGAATTCAGTATTAGAATCTCTCCATTGGAGAGAGGTTGTTCAGACATGTTAAGACATTCCCAAAGAAATTTAGATTTGGCTGATCAGGTCAGAGAAAAAATACGTTTTACATTGCTGTTTGCTGTATCTTGGTTGGGTTAGATGGGTTAGGTAGAGAGTGTATTTCAGGCACTGAATGATGTAGTTTTGAATTACTGAGTATTCAGTTCATCTTGATTATTCCATGTAAGCAGAGGAGATGCCCAGGTATCCTGGCACACACCATTAGTCTGTGTTACACTGTCAGGGCACTCACGCTTCAGACAGTGAAATGCACTCAGGGTGGTTCCTTTCCACTCCCCTGAGCTGCTCATCAGCCTTCCCCATGAAGCTGGCAGTAGTGATTTAACTTCTACACTCCTGAGAAACTGCACAAGTTTTCCAGGATGTCCATATGTTTAGGGTTTTGGTCAGGAAAAGGAAATACAAGTCTTCAAGTCATTTCCTCTACAAGAGGGAAGTAACTTCTAGTAGGCTGGGAGGGTTGGGGTTGTTTTGTTGGTTTTGGTTTTTGTTAATAGCAGGAATTTATTTTTGGTGCCAGTAAATCAGCTTACTGACTTGTTGTCTTTCTGTATCTTTCAAATCTCCACATGTGAAAAGTTTTTTTTTTTTTGCTATTTGTATCTTGAGCATGCAGCTGCTACTGAAAATGTCTTCCCAATATTGGTTGTTCAAAAACTGATTTTTGGGTTTATTTAAAAAAACTTCTATGATGTTTTCCCACCTTTCATGATCCATGAGACTTAGTGAATAAATGGATTGCCTGCTGGGTTCTCCCTCCCCCTCTGCCCTGTTGTTTTTAATTTTTTTCTTCCTCCTTCATCTGAAAGGTTTAATTGGAGAAACTCCTTTTCCTGCTGGGTTAGAGGTTCTGGGTTTTATTTCATTTTTTTGAATAGCTTACCCTAAAAATTGAATTTTGAGTTGCAGCTAACTTTCATGCAAAGTGAAATCTTTGCAAAATACAGATTCAGTGAAACAATTTGCAAAAGTCTGTGAAATTTGGCTTTGCAGAGAAAGAGCCATTACATTTAGTTTTAAATGTTGAGCCTCTCAATTCGAAACCTGTTTCAAAGACACCTTAATTGCAAACTCCTCCCCCAACCTGAAGTTAATCTCTGGCTTCTAGGACATATGGAAAATTTTTAAAACCCCACCAAAAATCCAAAGAGGATAATCAAACAATTAACTTCAGCAAAGTTGGAGCATTTTGTCTTTGAAACCTTTGAGCTTGGAGCAAGAAAATGAGTGTAACTCAAAGCTCAGTGCCTGCAGTGTATCCTGTCCTTTAATTGAACAGAATCAAAGAATTTCTGCCAGTGAAATAAATTCTTTTCAAAGGTCTGGTGGTTTTTTCTGTTACCCATTTTCACATTAAATTGTTACAGTGGAGAATGTAGTGCCATTATCATTGTACACTCAGAATATATTTCTGGAATGATCTAAATTCTCTTCAGTGTCTTTCCAAACTGAGAACCTGAAAAACTTCAAAGTATAATGAGAAAAGATTGGCTGCCTATCCTCACTCTGGTGAAGATGCTTTTTAACCAGGGAAATGGGAAATTTGCTTCATATGTACTAGTTTACCACATAATGTTATGGTAAGAAAACCAGTTGATATTTTTTGAATATTTTTATTTTATTTATTTATTCATAGTCTGCCTGATGTGTGGGTAAATGAAAGTGAGCGACATCAGTTAAAAACTAAAGTAGTTCATTTATCAAAACTACCAAAAGATACTGCCTTGCTTCTGGACCCAAACATTTACAGGTAACATCTTCATTTTGCAACTTTCTTTACTTGAATGTAATCTTAAGCCTCACTTAACTTTTTGACGTTGGAAAATCAGGATTGCTAATATATTATACACCAGATCAGGGAGCCTTGGTACTGTACACGTCCAGGAGTTAAGTTCTGAGGTCTTAAGTTATTTCAGAATTACTTCTTGAACTAAACTCTAGTGACTGAGAAACGGGGAATGTGTGTATTTACCAAGTGTATTTTACTTTTTTGTGCTTGGTGTACAGAAATTCTAGTAAAGGAAGTACATACAGTGGAATCCTGAAAGATCACTTCTGTTAAGATCACATACTGGTTTGTATACCAATTTTTTTAAAGTCCAAATTTATCTTTCCATATTATATTCAGCTGTAATACATGCAGTATTACCTTGAAACTTGTACTTGTGTTCAAGTACTGTTATTTTTTATTACAAGATTCTTTATAGGGGGACAAAAGGGAACAATTCATGTTACTTGTCTTTAAGCTACTTTCACATTTCTGTTTTTAGGCCCTCAGATTGGCTTCTAATCCATCTGGTTTCTAATAATTTCCTGATTCTCCCCCCCACCCCTTTATTACTGCTCTCCCATGATTGTCAGTACCCACAGTTCTGTGTGTACAGTTTTTAAAGGTAATCTGAAATGCTTAACTCATTCTGAAATTTTGAGCATCCATAGATCCATATGTGATTATATTAAAAATCCACGAAAATGGCTTTTGGAAAGAAGGTTTATCATAACAGAAGTTCAGTGTTCCGAAGTTTCTTCCTTAACATCCAGTGACCAAGAGTCTCAAGGAGAAAATAAAACACTAATCTGAGGTCTTTCAATGCAATAAGCCTTTCAGTTCACCTTTAATTCTCAGTGTATTTCACTAATCAAATTAATGAAAACTTGCTTTATGATATGAAAACCAATCCTACTGTATTTGCTATCTTTGTAAATGTGTTTTAAGTACTTACCTTAGCCTATGAATCATTGCTATTAATGGTAAAATCATAAAAATGTTATGGTGAGATTGGATTGTGTGTTTTAAAACTGCTTAACACAGTGACTTCCATAATCTAATTGAGGTGTTAATAATTTTATATTGATTACCTTCGCTGAGCTTAGTTTGATAGCTTAGTTTGCTTTGAAAAGAAAAAAATAGCCTTTTAAAATAAAAATTTAATGATCTCTGGATTAAGCCCTTGGAGAAAAATTAGCAGACCTTTCTATCTCCCAAATAAAATTAAGGTTCCCACATGTAATGTTGTGCTCTATTTTTTAGCAGTATGGATCAGTCTGTGATTGAAATGAGCTTTTGGGACCAGCTGAGGGAGCTTAATGATGTAAATTTTAAAACCAAAACTTCAAAACTAAACTTTAAAAACTAAAACTTCTTTTCAAGAGGAAAGGGTAGTTAAAGAAATTCAGTGGCAGCTATTAATGTCATGCTTTAATAGAAAATCTGAAATAATTATCTGAAATGTACACTTTAGTGAGATCATGTGAAATGGCTCTTGGTTTTAATCAAATGAAAGTAGATTTTGTGTAGTGATGATTTCATAGTGCATTCAGCTGACCAATGTATACATCACAGGGTCTTAATGTAAAGCTGTACCATCTTCTTTTACAGAACGATGCCCCAGAAGAGGTTGAAGAGGTAAAAACCAAGCAAGTGGGGACACCTGCAGTCTTAGTCACTGACAATGGATTTAGAAATAAAGTTGCACATTAGTCAAATCCCATCTTTTTTTTTTTTTCTTTTTTTTTCTTTTTTCTTTTTTTTTTTTTGTTTTTCTTTTTTTTTTTTTTTTAGAGAAATATTTATGCTTAGTGTAAACATTCTGTGAATGAAGTTGATGCTTCCGTGGAATATATTAATATATTACTGTATATCCACATTTTCATGGAATGGTACAGTGGGAGACTGAGCAAACACTCTTCTGGCAACTTAGTGGAACAACTAAAAGGCTTTGCATGCTTGCTTCTTTAAGCTGCTTTTTTCTTTAGTGAATACCGTAGTCTATATTTGATGAAAAGAAAAAGTAACCATCACCATTTCCTCCCGATTCCCAGGAGAACTGTTAAACAAGCTATTGGGCTTCCTGTCAGTGTTAACTAAACCTAACACATGCCAGACAATAGAACAGCTACCAAGGGATGATCCTGTTGCCCTTTGAGTATGGTGGATAGTAATCATTTGTCATTTGTGATCTTGTGTCCTTTTGCAGCTCCCTAAAATATGTTGGATTATGGTGTTGAATCAAATGTTGATGGAATGCTTGTCTTTTCCAGTCAACTCTGAATACATATAGTAAGGTGGCAGGATGTTCAGAGTGTTGCAGTCTGTCTGATCCCTTTGCAGGAGTAGTGTGGTGTGTTCATCAGGTCTGCTTTGGTGTGATCCGTATCAATGGACGGGTTTGGGAAACCTCAGTGTAAGCAGTCAGTGTTACTGGTGATTTATTTTGCTTTTTTGACCCTCTAGGATCCCCATTCACTTGTAAAGTATACTTTATTTGGCCTAATGTTTTCTAGATGTAAAGAAAATGGTATTTTTTAAAAAAAAATTAATCTAGAAATTCAATCCTTTATGCACCAAAGTTGGCTTTGAAAAGGAAAGTAAAATCATTTTCTTGCTTAATAAGCAAGGAGCTGTGGATTTTTTTTAACTGACAAATAGAGATGCGTCTAACCTGTTAGTCTTTGTATGGAGACAAAAATGTTGCATATAGATAATAGGACATTGCTTGTAAATATTTCAGCAGATTTGTAATATATTTTTATATTATGAAATGTACTGTAGATGTTTTTCTAGAGGCATGAAAGTTAAAATGTATATATTACGGTAGAAATAATATTGAAGGATATTGTAATTCACTAGTGCTGCCAGAAGAATTGTTTAAAAAAAGCACCTTCCTTAACAGTAAAAAAACCTTCTTTTACATACCTAAGGGACTATATACTACTGTTAGTATCTGTTGTAAGAACAAAAATACATTGAACATCCTTCCCAGAAATCTTAGAGGGATGAATAGTACCCATAATTAATTCATGGCACTCCTTTCTAATAGTGAACACAGAATTAGTTTTTTCCTTACTGTCGGAAGGAACTAATATGTAAAATTTGTATGGATATATGCAGTCAAACTGCAGAGTTAGTCCTCCTTATTGGGGAGGAATTTACTACAGTGAAACTAATAACCAGCAGTTTTTACACTAAATTTTTATTAAATAGATTAAGACTTAAAGTAACCCTTTGGTTGCAGAAGTGAGCATATCCTAATGTAATACAAATGCATTCTGCATTGGTACTGACACAAGTCTTGCTTAGCTCCAGTGGGTTAAAAATGTTACTTATATACACAAAAAAATAATCTTATCAAGGATATGAAGTGCAGATTAAAAGCACCACTAATATAAGATGTTCTGGAATGGTTGTTTAATAAGGGTATTATTCATAAAATCTGTAGTGACGTGACTTTATTTTTGGAAGAAATGCAGTGTTTTGGTTTTTTTATTTTTTTTTTGCTTGAGCACTTCACCTACTGCTTTTTCTGTACCTATAAAGTAATCCGTAATCTTTGTTTCTTTTTTTTGAATTTGTTATAAAATTGCCAAATAGAAGTGTTTCAGATATAGTTTGTATTTGTATTTTTTTAATTTTATTGCTTCATGAGTTTCTTGTAAGTCATTTATAATTGACAGATGATTGTAGACCTTGCCTGAGTATTTTTTCTAATAAAACAAAGCAAACAAACCTCATAAGCTTCAAAATTGTACAATTTCAATGGAGTTTTCAAAAACAAATATAAAAACATTGCTGTTTCCTCTGTGAGTTGTAACACACACCTTTACAGAAGGGGGAATTCATGGATTCAAGTAATGTGATGTTCATGTAAAATGGGACTTCTCCTGGGTTTGAGAAAAACTGTTAGCTGGTGTTCTCATGGCAGAATTTCTGCTTTGAAAGGAAAAGTCAGTTTAAATAACAAACATCTGTGAAGAAATGGATACACTAGAGTTAATTAAACTTTCCATAACAGTCAAAACGTAAGTGGACATTTGGCTGGTGTTTACCTTGTAGTTGTGGAACTGAATTGCTAAAACTATTTATGCTTGAAAGTTATTTGCATTCTACAAAATTTGTAATTACTTGGTGGTGTTTTGTTTCAAATGCCAGTCTGTTCTCTACATTCTGCTGCATTTTTTGTGTGCACCTGGGTAGATTTCACTTTTGTTGGAATTCCAGGTAGGTGCAACTGCCACTGTGTGCTGGGGGGCACTGACCATGTTTTTGTTCTGGAAATAATATTATTCTTACTCTTTAAAAGTGTTTCTGAAATAATTGGCCTCTCCCCTTTTAAGTAATTCCATGTGCTTTGTTTTGGGATGTAACATTTAAAGGTTTCTCCCTGTCTTTCTCAAGAACATTTTCCAGACATCTACAGATTGCACTCCCTCCCAGCTCAAGTGTTTATTTTTTTTGTAGAGAAATGTCAGCTCCTTGAAAGTCACACTTTTCATGAGTTGCAGTGCACACAAATATCTGTGTTCAAACTCCCATTCTTTTGGAATGTGTTGGCTTGAATTGTACAGTTTTCTAAAATGGAATAACAGGATTTTTGAGTGAGGGATTGTGTTTTGAACACAATCTCTGCCTGAACACCAGCTCTGCCTGGTAAGTGGATGGAAATGCTTTCCTAGAAAAATTAGCTGGCATTTGGGCATAGCACACAGCTGATTGTTTGATACTAGATCTTACTCTGTTTGCTAATGCACCTTAATAATCTCTTTATTAAAGACAGAGCAGAAACAAATTGGTATTTTTCCTACACTTACTTTGAGTATAATTTTTTCAAGTTACTGTGGGTCTTTCAGATTTTAGCCAAAATCTGCAATAGGTTGAGCTATATTTTTCCTCCATAGTCCATGAAGTAATTAAATAAAGTTGAATTTCAAATTGAATTGCACATTAATTCTGGACTAGATTCATTTAGAACAAACAGGTGAATTGTGTTCAAACATGCATTGTTTTTAATAATTGAAATTCAAGTGGTTGATTTCTGTGCCCTTCAGCTTTTCAGTACTGTGTATGAATTAATTAGTGCAGAAGACTGGTCTTGTTTAATACTTCAGTCTGAAATTGATGGTTTACTCTCACTCTCACTTAATGCTTTCCTGGGTTGACATTTTAAATTTGTGAGTGAATCTATCTTAAGTATTCTTCTTGTAATATTAATGACAGGTACAACAGAAAAAAATCCTATAATAGGAAAGTTGGCATTTAAAAAAAGCAGCTGAATGTATGGCTTCTTTCAGCCATTGGTGTTTATTTATTCCAAGTGAAGAATATTCTGGTACACTTTGTTGAATCAACTTTTATTAAAAAATCTGTATTATGTTTTGGGGGAGGGGGAGATAAGCACCACCTGCACTACTGCTGTGAGCAACACAAAACCTGAACGTTGTTTAATTTGTAATTTCTGAAATTACTTAAAAATAGGTACCAGTTCTGCTATACAGCAGCTTGCTATTCTTTCAGGTGTGATGGCAGCACTGGGAGTTATTTGTTATTCCCAGGGCTCCTGGTGCTGAGCTGTCCTCATGGAGTGACCAGCCCAGGAGTCAGTGTTATCCTGGGTGCAGACCTGGATAAAGAAGCGGAAGAAGGAGATGCTGCTGTGAGTTTGGGGGCTGTTGGAAGGGTGAGAATTCATAATACTGTGCTCAGCTCTAGACTGGAATGAACTCTAGTCTAGACATGTAAGGCTCATTTCCCCTTCTCTCCCACATGCATCCATGTATTTATCTCTAACTCTTACCTAGAAAGAAGAGTTAAAATCAGGATGTGTCTGATGTGGTAATGCAACTTACACTGGAGTAAGGAAATGTAGTTCTAAGAGTAAAGAGAATAAAATGAAATGGTGTTGATTACATACAAAAAGTGGGCTGTTGGTTGTCAGCCAGTTGTGGATAAATTCAAGTCCTGCAGTTGTTTGTGAAGATTAATATGCTGTGATTGATGCTACATTATTTGTTTTTCATAATTCTAAAACTGGCCCTTTGAACTTTTGTAAATCCTCCTCAGTAGTAAAGCAACAAGTACTAAGTAATATGATAAATCTGTTTATTTCTTCCCAAATGAGAGATAATTGCTGATAACATCCCCTTGGCTTGGCTTGTGTACAGGAGATTTGAGTCCAGTCTGTTGGATGTCGTTCAAAAGAATTGTCAGATTTTAATATCCTTGGTGTTTTGCCTGTGTTTGTAGCCTCAGTGGAGGATGGGAGATCTCACAATGATTTACTGTGAAGAACTGCCTCTGATTTGAGACAGTAGCCCTTGTGACTAATCAAGGGCTACTCACTGCCTCAAAGGGTGAGACTTGGAGAAAAAGATAAACTTGGAGGCCTTGTGAAATGATGAAGGAATATCCCTGTGGTCAGCTGCGTCAGCTGCCCTGGTTCTGTTGTGGGCACCCCCAGCCCAGTCTCTGGCAGGGCAGCATGAGAAGGTGGCCTGTCCTTGACTGAGTGTAAGCTCTACTCAGCAAAAAGTAAAAAATCAGTGTGATACCAGCACATTTGTCATCCGAAATCCAAAACAGCACTCTACCAGCTACTAGGAAGAAAATTAACACCATCCCAACCAAAACCAGGATATAGGACTAGAAATTGAATGCCCCATTCAGACTCTGAGATCTCCTTTTTCTCACTGTCATTGCTCAGTTGTGTTTT